AGTACGTGGCTTCTGTGGTGAAGAGGTGGCTGCTCTGGCGGTGCAAGGTGGGGCAGCTCAGCTCAGGCTTCCTTGGGGTGAGGTTCTCAGTGGTGGGACTCTGTGGGCATCTCATTCTGCCCCCAGCAGGGCCACATGGCAAGGAAAGCCCACCTCACTCTAAAGGGATGCTCACGAGGCAGGGGAGCTGGGAAGGTGCTTGTCAACCGCTGCTCAGAGACAGAACTCTCTGCTCAAAACCGTTGGCATTGGTCCCAGTTTTTCCAGCCACTCCACTTTGTGGTGATGGCAGTGGGTAGTTCTGATATGGAAAGGCCTGGAGAAGAGTTGTGGAGTAACCCCAGTTGGCATCTCAGCCCACACAACAATGACTCACTACACCAGGGTGGGACAGGGGAGGGAGTCAGAGCAACGAAAGTGAGAAAACCCATGAGTGGAGATGAAGATGGGTGACGGGTAAAGTAAAAGCTGTGCACACAAGCAAAGCAAATCCAGGGATTCATTCAGCACTTCCCAAATGCAGGCAGGTGTTCAGCCAGTCCCAGGACAGCAGGGATCCATCCTGCAAAATGGTTAAATGGGAAGACAAATGGCATCACTCCAAATATCCCTGCTATGCTTCTTCCCTCAACCTGATATGCTCAGCATGATGTCACAGGATATGGAATATCCTTTTGGGCAGTTGTGACCTGCTGTTCCAGCTGTGTCCCCTCCCCACTTCTTGTGCACCCACAATCTACTCACTGGTGGGGAGATGGTTCTGATAAGCAGAAATGGCCTTGATGTTGTGTAAGCACCAATCATCAATAGCAAATTATCTCTGTTTGATCAACACTGTTTTCAGAAACAATCACAAATGTATGCCCAGACCATCTACTGGGAATTACATGAACTCTATCCCAGCCCAAACACGCTCAGGAAGTCCTAAAGAAGAGAATCAACAATAAATCCATGGCTGCTCAATTCTGCAGTACAGACAGTTCCATGCTGGATGTCATTTGCAGTCTTCCTGGCATTGCCAGTGTGCTGCCTTTACCTCTTGCATACAGATTACAACCTGTGTCATGAACAGTGCCTTCAGCTCCCTGGCCTTCTTTTAGGTAGGAAAGAGAGAGCTGTCCTGTGAGCAGAAAGTCTTGGGAAGAGGGAAATAGAGCAGGAAGTCCCCAGAAGGGCTGGATGGAGAGGGCGAGATCAGGATTTGGATTGGTGCAGAACATCTGTTCTAATCCTTGTGCTCTCACTTTCTCTTCCTTTATGGTATACCTCCCCTGCCACACCTGCTTTAGAGATCTCCTCTCTTTTCATGCCTGACTGCAAAGACTCTGTTGCACGACTTTGTCCAGTCTTTCCCATCCTTGCCCAGTGGTCCTCGTTCATCACAGACAACCAGAACCAGAGCTCTGCCTGCAACACAAAGCAAGCAGCCAGCTGTTCCTCCCCACTGGAGGAGTTCTTTCCTACTCAAGCCTTTCCAATTTGGGCCCTCACGCCCTTGGATCTCCCCACAGCTCTGCAGTCACTCTGGAAACACTCGGGGCATTATCACCAGAGCCCACATCAAAGAGCAGCAAATGGCAATGCTCCAAAGGCAGGACAAGCTCAGCAGCCCTTCTGCAACACCTTGCATCTGCCCTCTGGCAAACAAGAAACCTCCTGAGACATCAGGTCAGGTCAGTAGGCTGCTGCTTAAGATTCCTAAGAGTCCTGAACATCTCCTGAAGATGTCACGGGTGTTTTCTCCTTCATGAAGGAAAAATGATTCAAGCACAGCTTTCTCTGGTGAATCCCCAGTGTTGTTTTGCCCTCACCAGTTTGCAGGTGACAGCAGCTGTTTTTGAGTCAAAGCCCACAGGTGGAGCAGGAGCCTTTTGCCTCTTGCCCAAAGTCCCCACCTTCCAGCCTTCCTCACCCTGACACCTCCCTGGGCCACCTGCTTGGCCATGGTCTCCACCTGCCCTGCCCTGCTCTGTGTCCCCAAGGACACAGGCACCAGCACCCAGCACTGCAAGCAGATCCACTCCAGCTTTCCCTGCACAAGGAGGGCAGGATTTCTTGGCATTTCCCCCTTGTCCCAAAGATAATGCTCTTTGGAACTTCTCAACAGTGAGGAGGGAAGAGGCAGCCTTGCCTGCAGGGCCTGGCAGTGCTGAAGAGCACCAGCCATGGGGTGATCACCACATGCTGTGGTGATGAGAGCCAGGTACCTACAGACTTTCTCAAGCTCACGGGCAGGGCATTGCACACAAATTTGTCCATGATGTGCATTCAAGGACATGGATCACACCCAGAGTGCCCCCAGCAAGCAAAAATGCCCCCCCATGACCGCCTGTGCATTCAACAAGCACAAGTGTGGCAGGGCTGGAGCACCCCAAGGCACCTCAAGGATCCAAACATGGATGGGTTGAAGATCCTCAGTCATGGCCTAAAGAGTGGAGGAAGCCAAGCAGCTTCTGAGAAAGAAATGTTGAAACTTAGCAGTGCAGTCCACCTGCCTGGAAGAGAAAGAGCAGCAGCAATCAGACAGGGCTGGGAGGGAGAGAAGGAAAAGGACATGGTTTGTTCTCACACATGGGAGTCACTGGGTGTCTGGGCAAGGACTGCAGGGCTGAGAGGAGATTCGTCTTTTGTATCAGTGGGGCTGAATCACCAACCCAGCAGTAGCCCAGGTCACAGGGCATTGACAGGAGTCAGGTGCCAGTCCTGTGCAACAGAGCACTGGGGACAGGGGGGACTCTGAGCACCTGACAAACTCACTCCCCAGTAGAGAAGCCCTTCAGTCCTTCAGCCTCAGGAATTCACCCTTGGGGGAATTCTCTGACCTGTCTTTCTGCCCTCAGCAGTCCAGGGTGAGGGCACCTCTTCTGAAGGAGCAGCTCTGCAGGTAGAACAGCAGTTCTCCTCACGCATGGCAAGCCTTGTTTGTCTGCTCAAGGATGGCAGGGCTGGAAGGAGCTTGGCTTTGCCTGCCCAGCCAGCTGGCCTGCCAAAACCCCACAGGAGTGGGCCAAGAGGGGACTCCAGCCTGCAAGGGAGCACTCCAGGACTTTGGACACGGTTTCTGGCAGCAATGACATCTCCCACAGTGGAAATTTGGAATTCTCAGCAGCCGTCAGAGGAAATATCCATGGGGGAATGAACATAAAGCCAGCAGCCAAAAGTTCACAATGCAGGAATCTGAAACACAGGTCATATAATTATCTGGTGTGTTTTGCAGCTCATTTCAAGAAATTATTACTTCCAGAAGAGAAAACCTCAAGGCCTGGAGCAGTGAAGGACCAGGCCAAGTATTAAACTCTCCCATCTCTTCAGTCCTCCTTTCCTCATTGGGAAATGCATGAGGTGGAAACTCTGTTCTCTTCCCTCAGAATATGGTCTTGCTAAACAGATCCTGTGCTGTGGGCTAGAGAGAAGAGTTCCTGGGTGGGGTTATTATTTGTAGAGCCCTTGGGACCTGAAGGCAAGCATTATATGTGCCTTCCTACATAGCAGCTGACAGAAATAAATGGGCCTACCCCAAGAGCTGCCTGTGCCATCCCACAGGAGGAAAGCAGCTCTGCTGGCCATGACTCTGCCCTGACAGAGGTGCTGCCCTGGCTCTGGCTGGGCCCTGGGTGGCCACAGAAGTTCACCAGGGAGCCTTAGCCCTGGATGGAGAGGCTGTGAGCCTTGTGGCCCTGGCCATCTCCTTGTCTCCTGCTGCCTGAGCACTGCAGGTCCATTGCTGGGAAGAGCCAGCAGTTCCTGCCTGGCTGTGTCAGGAGCAGGGCCCTCCTGGGGCAGCCTGGCCCGGCTCTGAAGAGATGCAGCAGTTTACAAGTGTCTCTGAGTGCCTGCCAGGACAGCCAGGGGCCCTCTGAACAAGAGGCTTCTAAAGGCCCAGCTGTGGCCTGGCTGCACCAGTTGGAGGCTCCCGGTGCTGGAAAACCTCCTTCTGGAGCTGGGGAGTCTGGGGCCCAGCAGAGACAGCTGATTGTTTCCTCCAGCTGGGCACAGCAAGTGCTTTACCCACAGGACAAAGCGAGTAGAAGGGCTCCCTGGGGCAGAGCTGTGGGATCCCAGGCAGCCTCAGAGGGTTTGCTTCGAGCCTTTGGGCTGAGGTTTGGAGGCAGCTTTGTTGTGGCAGAGAGACGAAAACACACGGGTTGGCAAAGGTGACCTCCTGCTTCCTGGGATCTGCCTGGGCACTTCCCTGATGGGAGAGAGTGAACTGGTGCAGCTTTTCCCATCAGAATGGGTGGGACTGCAAAGGGCAGGGGACACAAGGGTGTCAGGCTGGGCAGGAGCAGAACTGGTGGGCCTGTCAATACTGAAGGGGAAAGAGGTGACTGGGGAGATGGAGTCCTCAGCTGGACACTGGTTGGGCTCCCCATCAGCTGCAGGGCCTTCCCAGAGGCTGAGGAGGGAGTTTGTGTTCGGGCTGCAGGCTCTGCAGGAGCCAGGGACACCTTGGTCAGCTGCAAGGGACAGTCTGTGGACAGGAGCCCACTGTTGGTGTCTCCCCCTTCCCTCCCCTAGCAAGGCCCTGGCTCTGCTCTGTGCCTGCCCCATCTGCCCAGAGTGACACCTTTCCCTCTGGCAGCTGGCAGAGCGTGGGGACAGGGAAGGACCACACAGAGGCACAGGCTGGGATGCAGCAAAACTTTAATGAGTGGAAAAGGTGGAAAGGAGGTGCTCTGAAAGGGCACCGTGGTGCAAGCAGCACCAGGGGGAGGTAGGAGGAGGCTCTGGCCCTTGGCCAGGGTGCAGTCAGACCTTGGATGGGGCTTAGAGCATGATCAGAGCCCAGGAGAGCAGAAAACAACAAAGAGACAGAGAAAGAAGATGGGAGGAAACAGGGGAGTCAAGCAAGGCCCGTGTTTTCAGAGAGCCCAGGCAGCCCTGGGGCAGGGCAGGTGGAGCTGTGGCTGCTCAGTCCCTCTGAGCACCATGGCCAAGGTCTCCGTGCTCCATCCATTTCTGTCTCCTGGGGGTCCTTGTGTGGGGCGTCAGCAGCAGCTTCAGCAGATTCTGCCGCAGGAGCGGTTGGTGATGCAGGAGAGGTCAAAGCCCCCAGAGTTGATGGGCACTCCATTGCAGCTGAGGATGCTGCCAACGGCAGCGGAGGTGGAGGATCCCACGGCGGTGTTCTGTGGGAAGGAGCTGAGGATGGGCCCGGGCAGGGTCACCACCACGGGGGAGGGTTCAATGACGACGGTGGAGCTCTGGCACTGCCTGACACAGCACTCATTGCAGCTGTTGGCCAGCGGGGTGGGCCCGCAGGGCTGGCAGCAAGGGTTGCAGGGCTGGTAGCAGGACATGTCTTTTGGGGCTGCAGAGGCACCTGGGAGAGAAGAAAGGGACAAGATGGGGCTGTAGGAGGAGCCGCCTGCCCACCATGAAGCAGCCAAGACACCGGCTGGGCTGGGAGGCTCTGCAGGGACCACTTCACCACTCTTGGCCTGACCCCAGCACTCAACAAGGACAGCCAGGCCCAGGAAAGCTCCTTCCTAGTCAAGAGCACAGGACTTCCCTCAGTTCCTTCAGCCCACAACAAGCCCCTCTCCACACCAAACCTTCTCCCCACTTCCCCTTCCAGCCCCAAGGCCACAACAGCACAGAGTTTCCAACTCACTTGTGTCCAAAGGAGAAGAAGTGCGATGAAGTGGGTGAGAGAGTGCAGAGCTGGGATGGCTTTTTTACTGGTCCTGCACTGCCCCAGGTCCAGGGGAAGCCTCTCTGGAAGCAATAATTTTCAGAGAAGCTCATCTGAAATGCAAAACACCCCAGCTAATGAGATGGACTGTGTTTTGGTTTCCTGTATGGCTGCATTTTCACATACTTCCTTGGCTTGTGGTCAGTGCTGCTACCTCTCTTACTCCTAAGGCACATGAAGGACACCAACAATTATTGTAAAATCCTGGCTAAAACCAATCTGTTTTGCAACTTTTGTTAGCCTTCCCTCATGTCCCTCACAATTTACATGAGCTTGTTCAGTACAGTCAGGACTAACCATGTTGACAGCAAATAAAAAACTCAACAGTAGCACTGAAGGAACTCTGGAGATGTTCAGGTTTAACCCCTCTGCTCAGAGCAGGCACAACAAGAGCACATTGATCAGGACATTGCCCCGTGTGGGTTTGAGGGGCTCTAAGGACATTCACACACTCCACAAGCTGCCAGAGCGACTCTGCTGAGCTTGGCCACGCTCACAGGAGAAGAGCTGTTCCTCATGCCTGTGTGGAATTTCCTTTCCCACTGCTCCAATCCACACACAAGGGCAAGCAAACAGCCCTGTCTGCACATGGGCAACTGCAGGCTCGTGTGTGCAAGGACACTCAGAGACACCTCTTGGCAGGGCAAGGCTGGATCAGCCTGGGCCAGGACGAGGGCCAGGACACACTGAGGTGGTTGGAGGGGGTGGGGAAGCACCAGAGAGAGTGCAGGGTCTCAAGGAGTCCCAAGAAGAGCACTAAGGGTTCCTCAGAGCAGGATTAGGGGGAAGAGAGTCAACAACACCAGCGCTGCTCACACACCCGCAGGGACAATGACCAGTGTGGATCACAGAGAGGGTGGAGGGTGGGAGAGAGGGGATGTGGCACTTTGTCACGTTTGGTGACCTTTTGGCATCAGAGCGAGGATTCCAGGGCTGGGAGCAGCTGGGCCCTTCCTGCCCACGGGGCTGCAAACAAGCCCATAGGAGCGCCCCGAGCCAATGTCCCCAGCCTGCACGCGATGCCTCTGGCACTTGGGACTCATCTGCTGCTGCCACCAATGAGCTCCTGGCCCACAAGTCCATGGGCTTCCCTCCCCAGCTCCAAAAAGGAGCCTTCCAGGGGAATCGTGAGGGCTAAAGAAGGATCTAAAAATGTAGCCGAACAGGAAACCAAAACACAGCCTGTCTCATTAGCTGGAGTGTTTTGCATCTCAGATGAGCTTCTCTGAAAATTATTGCTTCCAGAGGGGTTTCCCCTGGACCTGGGGCAGTGCAGGACCAGTATAAAAGCCATGCCAGCTCTGCACTCTCGCACCCACTCCATCGCACTTCTTCTCCTTTGGACACAAGTGAGTTGAAAACTCTGTGCTGTTGTGGGCTTGGGGCTGGAAGGGGAAGTGGGGAGAAGGTTTGGTGTGGAGAGGGGCTTGTTGTGAGCTGAGGGAACTGAGGGAAGTCCTGGGCTCTTGACTAGGAAGGAGCTTTCCTGGGCCTGGCTGTCCTTGCTGAGTGCTGGGGTCAGGCCAAGAGTGGTGTGATCGTCCCTGCAGAGCCTCCCAGCCCAGCCGGTGTCTTGGCTGCTTCATGGTGGGCAGGTGGCTCCTCCTACAGCCCCATCTTGTCCCTTTCTTCTCTCCCAGGTGCCGCTGCAGCCCAAAAGACATGTCCTGCTACCAGCCCTGCAACCCTTGCTGCCAGCCCTGCGGGCCCACCCCGCTGGCCAACAGCTGCAATGAGTGCTGTGTCAGGCAGTGCCAGAGCTCCACCGTCGTCATTGAACCCTCCCCCGTGGTGGTGACCCTGCCCGGGCCCATCCTCAGCTCCTTCCCACAGAACACCGCCGTGGGATCCTCCACCTCCGCTGCCGTTGGCAGCATCCTCAGCTGTGATGGAGTGCCCATCAACTCCGGGGGCTTTGACCTCTCCTGCATCACCAACCGCTCCTGCGGCAGAATCTGCTGAAGCTGCTGCTGACGCCCCACACGAGGACCCCCAGGAGACAGAAATGGACGGAGCACGGAGACCTTGGCCATGGTGCTCAGAGGGACTGAGCAGCCACAGCTCCACCTGCCCTGCCCCAGGGCTGCCTGGGCTCTCTGAAAACACGGGCCTTGCTTGACTCCCCTGTGTCCTCCCATCTTCTTTCTCTTTCTCTGCTGCCTTCTGCTCTCCTGGGCTCTGATCACGCTCTAAGCCCCATCCAAGGTCTGACTGCACCCTGGCCAAGGGCCAGAGCCTCCTCCTACCTCCCCCTGGTGCTGCTTGCACCACGGTGCCCTTTCAGAGCACCTCCTTTCCACCTTTTCCACTCATTAAAGTTTTGCTGCATCCCAGCCTGTGCCTCTGTGTGGTCCTTCCCTGTCCCCACGCTCTGCCAGCTGCCAGAGAGAAAGGTGTCACTCTGGGCAGATGGGGCAGGCACAGAGCAGAGCCAGGGCCTTGCTAGGGGAGGGAAGGGGGAGACACCAACAGTGGGCTCCTGTCCACAGACTGTCCCTTGCAGCTGACCAAGGTGTCCCTGGCTCCTGCAGAGCCTGCAGCCCGAACACAAACTCCCTCTTCAGCCTCTGGGAAGGCCCTGCAGCTGATGGGGAGCCCAACCAGTGTCCAGCTGAGGACTCCATCTCCCCAGTCACCTCTTTCCCCTTCAGTATTGACAGGCCCACCAGTTCTGCTCCTGCCCAGCCTGACACCCTTGTGTCCCCTGCCCTTTGCAGTCCCACCCATTCTGATGGGAAAAGCTGCACCAGTTCACTCTCTCCCATCAGGGAAGTGCCCAGGCAGATCCCAGGAAGCAGGAGGTCACCTTTGCCAACCCGTGTGTTTTCGTCTCTCTGCCACAACAAAGCTGCCTCCAAACCTCAGCCCAAAGGCTCGAAGCAAACCCTCTGAGGCTGCCTGGGATCCCACAGCTCTGCCCCAGGGAGCCCTTCTACTCGCTTTGTCCTGTGGGTAAAGCACTTGCTGTGCCCAGCTGGAGGAAACAATCAGCTGTCTCTGCTGGGCCCCAGACTCCCCAGCTCCAGAAGGAGGTTTTCCAGCACCGGGAGCCTCCAACTGGTGCAGCCAGGCCACAGCTGGGCCTTTAGAAGCCTCTTGTTCAGAGGGCCCCTGGCTGTCCTGGCAGGCACTCAGAGACACTTGTAAACTGCTGCATCTCTTCAGAGCCGGGCCAGGCTGCCCCAGGAGGGCCCTGCTCCTGACACAGCCAGGCAGGAACTGCTGGCTCTTCCCAGCACTGGACCTGCAGTGCTCAGGCAGCAGGAGACAAGGAGATGGCCAGGGCCACAAGGCTCACAGCCTCTCCATCCAGGGCTAAGGCTCCCTGGTGAACTTCTGTGGCCACCCAGGGCCCAGCCAGAGCCAGGGCAGCACCTCTGTCAGGGCAGAGTCATGGCCAGCAGAGCTGCTTTCCTCTTGTGGGATGGCACAGGCAGCTCTTGGGGTAGACCCATTTATTTCTGTCAGCTGCTATGTAGGAAGGCACATATAATGCTTGCCTTCAGGTCCCAAGGGCTCTACAAATAATAACCCCACCCAGGAACTCTTCTCTCTAGCCCACAGCACAGGATCTGTTTAGCAAGACCATATTCTGAGGGAAGAGAACAGAGTTTCCACCTCATGCATTTCCCAATGAGGAAAGGAAGACTGAAGAGATGGGAGAGTTTAATACTTGGCCTGGTCCTTCACTGCTCCAGGCCTTGAGGTTTTCTCTTCTGGAAGTAATAATTTCTTGAAATGAGCTGCAAAACACGCCAGATAATTATATGGCCTGTGTTTCAGATTCCTGCATTGTGAACTTTTGGCTGCTGGCTTTATGTTCATTCCCCCATGGATATTTCCACTGACGGCAGCTGAGAATTCCAAATTTCCGCTGTGGAAGATGTCATTGCTGCCAGAAACCATGTCCAAAGTCCTGGAGTGCTCCCTTGCAGGCTGGAGTCCCCTCTTGGCCCACTCCTGTGGGGTTTTGGCAGGCCAGCTGGCTGGGCAGGCAAAGCCAAGCTCCTTCCAGCCCTGCCATCCTTGAGCAGACAAACAAGGCTTGCCATGCGTGAGGAGAACTGCTGTTCTACCTGCAGAGCTGCTCCTTCAGAAGAGGTGCCCTCATCCTGGACTGCTGAGGGCAGAAAGACAGGTCAGAGAATTCCCCCAAGGGTGAATTCCTGAGGCTGAAGGACTGAAGGGCTTCTCTACTGGGGTGTGAGTTTGTCAAGTGCTCAGAGTCCCCCCTGTCCCCAGTGCTCTGTTGCACAGGACTGGCACCTGACTCCTATCAATGCCCTGTGACCTGGGCTACTGCTGGGTTGGTGATTCAGCCCCACTGATACAAAAGACCAAGCTCCTCTCAGCCCTGCAGTCCTTGCCCAGACACCCAGTGACTCCCATGTGTGAGAACAAACCATGTCCTTTTCCTTCTCTCCCTCCCAGCCCTGTCTGATTGCTGCTGCTCTTTCTCTTCCAGGCAGGTGGACTGCACTGCTAAGTTTCAACATTTCTTTCTCAGAAGCTGCTTGGCTTCCTCCACTCTTTAGGCCATGACTGAGGATCTTCAACCCATCCATGTTTGGATCCTTGAGGTGCCTTGGGGTGCTTCAGCCCTGCCACACTTGTGCTTGTTGAATGCACAGGTGGTCATGGGGGGGCATTTTTGCTTGCTGGGGGCACTCTGGGTGTGATCCATGTCCTTGAATGCACATCATGGACAAATTTGTGTGCAATGCCCTGCCCGTGAGCTTGAGAAAGTCTGTAGGTACCTGGCTCTCATCACCACAGCATGTGGTGATCACCCCATGGCTGGTGCTCTTCAGCACTGCCAGGCCCTGCAGGCAAGGCTGCCTCTTCCCTCCTCACTGTTGAGAAGCTCCAAAGAGCATTATCTTTGGGACAAGGGGGAAATGCCAAGAAATCCTGCCCTCCTTGTGCAGGGAAAGCTGGAGTGGATCTGCTTGCAGTGCTGGGTGCTGGTGCCTGTGTCCTTGGGGACACAGAGCAGGGCAGGGCAGGTGGAGACCATGGCCAAGCAGGTGGCCCAGGGAGGTGTCAGGGTAAGGAAGGCTGGAAGGTGGGGACTTTGGGCAAGAGGCAAAAGGCTCCTGCTCCACCTGTGGGCTTTGACTCAGAACAGCTGCTGTCACCTGCAAACTGGTGAGGGCAAAACAACACTGGGGATTCACCAGAGAAAGCTGTGCTTGAATCATTTTTCCTTCATGAAGGAGAAAACACCCGTGACATCTTCAGGAGATGTTCAGGACTCTTAGGAATCTTAAGCAGCAGCCTACTGACCTGACCTGATGTCTCAGGAGGTTTCTTGTTTGCCAGAGGGCAGATGCAAGGTGTTGCAGAAGGGCTGCTGAGCTTGTCCTGCCTTTGGAGCATTGCCATTTGCTGCTCTTTGATGTGGGCTCTGGTGATAATGCCCCGAGTGTTTCCAGAGTGACTGCAGATCTGTGGGGAGATCCAAGGGCGTGAGGGCCCAAATTGGAAAGGCTTGAGTAGGAAAGAACTCCTCCAGTGGGGAGGAACAGCTGGCTGCTTGCTTTGTGTTGCAAGCAGAGCTTTGGTTCTGGTTGTCTGTGATGAACGAGGACCACTGGGCAAGGATGGGAAAGACTGGACAAAGTCGTGCAACAGAGTCTTTGCAGTCAGGCATGAAAAGAGAGGAGATCTCTAAAGCAGGTGTGGCAGGGGAAGTTTGCCATGAAGGAAGAGAAAGTGAGAGCACAAGGGTTAGAACAGATGGCTAAAAAGCTGGGCTTACCCTCTAATTCTAGTCCTGTCTTAGTTTTAAAACATATTTTTAAATGGAAATTAGACACCCAATCTGCCCCTTCCCACACTGCAGTTGTTGAGCACCTTACAATGAAGTGGTGTCCAAGAAGTTATTTCAGTTGAGAGATGTCTCCCAACAACTCACAGCTTTGTTCTGCCAGCTCACTCTCCCCTGTCAGGGGCAGTGAAGGTTCTTTCCATTTCCTGCTCTTTCTGATGACAGGGGAGGTTATGTGACTCTTTGCAGCACTCAGCATGGGGGACACAATGCTGGTCACTGTGTGATGGCAAATGTTCTGTACTCTCTGCAGGGAGGTATCAATTTTAAACTGAACACTGAGAAATCATATTTGGGGCTGTGTTAGTCCTACTCATGTGCCCTTTCACAGATTCTGAATGGGGATGTTGTTTTCCTGCCAAGACACTCGTTGGTGCAAAGAAATGCTCCTTTTGCAGGCACAGCACTTCAGGTTACCACTGAAAACATGGGTAAGATTCATGTCTTACTCACTTGGGCTCACATCTTTGCCCTGTGTTCCCAGACAAGCTCCTAAAAACATTTTCAAGTGCAACAGATCATCCTCTGGCTGCTCTCACATCAAGGTGTGTGAGATACAGCCATCACCTGGTGTCTCTGTGCTCCTTCCATGCTCACTAGACCTGGTTAATCTGAGGAGGAATTCTAGGCAGACTAGCACACTTCAGACCATAAAACCAGGAGATACCTTCTGTCACAGAGGCCTGAGCTCCTGCCTGCCCATGAAAAGCCTGATAAACCCTCATAGGAGCTGTTTTGGAACACCAGAAACAAGGCTAGAGAGAGGCATGACTGATTTTCTCTGCCCAGGGAACAGGGTTAGCCAAACTCTCACCTTGGTGGCGATGGAACTGCAGCAGGTAGCCTGAAAATCTCTGCTCTGGGGAGTTCGGGATTCCTCCCATTGCTGCCCCCAGAGGACCAAAGACAACGAGTGCTAAACAGCAACTTCCATCCTCCTTCCTCAGGTGCAGTGTGGAATTCTCTCCCTGCTCCCTGGCACCTTTCCAAGGGGATGGGTCTCCTCACCAGGTGAAGACCATTCCAAGCCCTGCCTGTCCTTGCCTTGGAGCTGCCAGGGAAGATGAGCCCTGTGGGCTGCCCAGACAAGCCAGGACTCTGCAGGGCCAAGCTGCAGGACAGGGGAGTTGGG